TTTGCGGCCCTGTGAAAATTTCGGTGAGTAAATTATTATCTCGGGAACCAGAAAAGCCAGGAAGCTGAAATTTAACGGTAATGTCTCCCGCCCACATACAATCTCGCAAATTTAAATTCAGCCTTCCCGCATGCCCGGGTATCACTAACGGCCCCGTGAAAGTTTCGGCGGGTAAAATTATTATCTCGGGGACCACGAAAGTTGGGGGTCTGAAATTTTAAGACGATGTCCCCTATCAACGTACGACGCCTGTAAATTTGGATTCAGCCTTCACGCCTCCCTGGGTATCACGTATGGTTCTCTGAAAGTTTTTGTATTATTATCGCCTGAACTGCAAGAGCTAGAAAGCTGGAATTTTAGCATGGCATCCCCTGCTCGTACAACTTCGCAAATTCTCGACGTCCCCTTGGAAGTTTTGGCGGGAAAAATTATTATTTCTGGAGACACAAGAGTTGGAAGGCTGAAAATTTCAGAGGATGTTTCCTGTCTAAACGGGGGCTTCACAGACTCGAATTCAGTTCCTAAATATGCTGAGCTTTCACGTATGAACACGTAAAAGTTTTGTCGCAAAAATCGCTCGAAAGCCAGAAAATTAAAAGACTGAAATTATGGAAGGGTATTCACTCCTCGAGGTTTAAAATTCAGCTTTCATGATATTCAGTGCATGAAATTTTTAGTGGGAAATTCCGCAGTTTAGGAAACAGACAACATTTCAACTATTTTTACACAGATCAAAGTGCGAAGCAGTGTTTAGCAGGCAATCGTTCGATGGACGAAATTGCACGAAACGCATGATCGCAGCGGCTGCTCTGGTGCGCGCAGCTATTTATTTTTCTTAGCTCCAAACTCAGCTCGTTGTTCACCTTTATTGTTTGTCCCAAATAGGTATAGGTTTTCTCAGGCTCAGCAAACCGGCAAAGCGGTAGGAGACAAAGTGAGGGCTGTTCATTGTGACAGCTGACGAAAATTAATCATAATTTTTGTGAAGTTCTTCTACACATTTTTGATTAGTCCCCTGCAGCCTGGCAGATTTAATTGTTTCAAGCAATTAAAAGATTTTAACGCGTCTACTGTACTGTTTGATTGGAAATTGTAGTGTAGAGTTTTTGCAGCACCAGTAAACCGAATGTTTTATTTGGCGCTGCCGCCTGATGTTTTTGAAGATGTTACTCTTCAGATCAGCAAGAACTGCATGGACAAGGGGTTGGTGAATTTTTTTTTTTTTTTTTGCTTTTCAGCCTGAATGAATTAGGCTCAACTAACGGGAAGTCTTTAATAATTTATGATATTTCTTTGCGAATTTTTGTTTTTCAAGATTGCCAAGCACTCTTAAACTGTCAGTGTGAAGTATGAATGCTATTTATCCATCTATAGTGCTTCACATTCTTGTTTCAAGTTCACTTACTGTACATCTTGCTGATCAACTTGGTAATTTTCAGTGGTTCATGGACGCGTATTATCATTGAGAAGCCATTTGGCCACG